GGGTGCTGTCGGTAGGACCCGACTTACACTCACAGCACGCCACAGAGCCTAAGACAGGGTGCTGTCGGTAGGACCCGACTTACACTCACAGCACGCCACAGAGCCTAAGACGGGGTGCTGTCGGTAGGACCCGACTTACACTCACAGCACGCCACAGAGCCTAAGACGGGGTGCTGTCGGTAGGACCCGACTTACACTCACAGCCCGCCACAGAGCCTAAGACGGGGTGCTGTCAGTAGGACCCGACTTACACTCACAGCCCGCCACAGAGCCTAAGACAGTGTGTTGTCAGTAGAAGGGGCAGGGTTTTTTGATCTTCAAATTTTATTCTGTCTTCTTTAGATACTATCTTAACTCTGTTAAGATTGGGAAGAGAACTGGCCAGGATCTAGGAGGAGAAATGTGGCATCTGTGGAGGGGTCTGTAGCCTGGTGCCCTTTGGTGGCCTCTCCAGGAGCATTTGCACCGTGCTCTGTGTCCACACAGACGAACTTGATAACTGAGTGGGAGGCGGGGAGAGGACGTTACCGAGCCAGGAGGAGGTGCAGGGCAGGTCCGCTCCAGCAGGAAGACCGTCCTTTCCCTTATAAGTCTGTGTGTGATGAAATAAAACAGGAAGGCTTCCCACAATGCAGTGTGTGTCCTGTGTTGCCAGGGACACCTCGATCATCAACCACTCTCGGAATGGCAGCTACGGGGAGAGCTCGCTGGAGGCCCACATCTGGCAGGAGGAAGAGGAGGTGGCACAAGCCAACAGACGGTGCCAGGACATGGAGTACACGTAAGGGACAGCCACGTGCGGCCAGCCGCCCCCAGCCCTTGAGGGTCCTGCCAGCCATGACTGCATTCACACTCCAGCCCTTCTGGAGAGGACCATGTTTGTCCTACTGTAAACGGCTGTGAACTTGAGGTCGCCCAAAACTCTCCTCCCCCACACTCTGCCCTGAAAAAAAGAGAAAGTCTCAAACCTCAGCAAGTGATTTCACTCCACAGTAGGACAGGTGCCGAGGTCTCTGGGAAATTGCATGTCAGATGCAGGTTTTAAGGTGGAGGCTGAGTCTGTAACAGAGGAATTTAGATGCCCACATTATTCCTGGCTGTCCGTCCCAACCTTCCAGATGTTATGAGCCAGAAAGGAGAAATAGATCAGCTTCTAAAGATTCGGAGTTTTTAAACCAGGTTTATATATTCTAGCCAGAAATAACTTGTTTAGTGAACATGCTCTTCTGATGGGCTATAAAAGATTTGGCTTTTTGATGTGATACAACTAGCCTGCCTCCCTTGACCCCTGAAGGCCTATGGTGTCCCAGAGACCTGAACCTCTTGTTTTGCAGATACGGGAACAGAGGGTGTAATTGAACCAAGGACAGGATCAGTGAGTTACTATCAGAGTTGTGAAAAGAACTGAGGTGTTGGCTGGTTCTCATTTTTGGCCATAGGGAGTGGGATGAAGGAGCATTTTCTTCCAAAGAACCTGTTCATCTTTCCCAGACAATAGAGAAATTGACTTTAGTTGAAATCACCCTGTTTCCATGATTCCCTCTCACCCTTCCCCCAGTACTAGACCATCTCAGCAGGTCTCTGAGCCCACCTTGATCCAGGAAGTCCTAGCAGACGGCCACAGTCATTCTGACTACCTCCCAGGAATCCAGAGTCTCCGGGGGTGCCCCTTCCCACTCCCCCGCCCTTGATCTACTACAGAAGGTCCATGTTAGGCAATTTAGAGATTATAAATGTTTGAAGACTTTGTGGCACTTGAACCTCCTGACTTAGCAATCAAAGTCTGGGGTCAGCCTGAGACAAATGTTTGAAGTTTGTCTGACCAGATGGCTTTTTATTAAGATGTTTGGTTTGGTGTGGTTTTACAGTATTAAAAATCTGCATGCCAAAATCATAGAGAAGGATGCCATGATCAAGGTCCTTCAGCAGCGAGCCCGTAAGGATGCCGGGAAGGCCGACTCCTCCAGCCTGCGGCCTGCCCGCTCCGTCCCATCCATTGCTGCGGCCACAGGGACACACTCACGCCAGACCTCTCTCACCAGCAGCCAGCTGGCCGAGGAGAAGAAGGAGGAGAAGACCTGGAAGGGGAGCATTGGTGAGCCCCCCACTGTGGGACTGGGGTCTGAGAGGCAAGGCTACACCATTCCCTGCCACTCACTCATGGGACACAGCGGTATCACTGAGCGTCTTCTCCTCTGGTTCATTCCCCTGTAAAGTGGGGAGGAAAGTCAGTCCCACTTTGGGGTGGGAATTAGCCTAGATACTCAGAAACACTGTAAATTCTGATAGCTACACCACCACAGTCACAGTTAGCCATGGGGTGACTCGTTAGAATTAGCATCTATTGTTGTTGAAATTTGAGATGCCCCTTGTAACACAAAATGGTCCCATGAAAAAACCTAGGGACATCAGACCTCTGAACTGGGCTCTGCCCCAGGCCTGTTAGTTATATGAGCTCCACTTCTGCTTCTCCCAGCGGGCTCTCCTTTTATCTCATTTTGCCCCCATGGCCCCATGGGACCATGTCGGCCTGCTTTACCCCATGGGGCCGTGGGGGACAAAATGAGATAAAGGGAGAGCCCGCTGGGAGAAGTGTTCTCCAGCAGAAGGGCTGTTGGTGGTGGGTTTTGCTGTCCTGGTGTTGCACAGGCAGGATTTTGAAGAGTGTTCTTCGATTGTGGTCTTAGCCAGGAGTGGGTTTCCTGGGGAGGGGGCAGGGCTGGTTTGTTGCCTGGCTGGTCTGGCTGAGCTGGAGAAGAAGTGGGCAGCAACCCCACACATATCCTCTGTGCCCTTCCCCTGTACTCTGGCAGCGCCAGGGGTCTGGGCCTTCTTTGATGCATTTTCCTGTGTCAGTGTGTGTTTTTGTTTCTCTGTGGGAACAAGAGCCACTTTTCCTGCTCTGGACCACAGAGGAGCCTGGCCGCTTTGTGCCAGGGGAGATAAGAGCTTCCATATGAACCCAACAGAGCTGAGGGGATCAGAGGCTCCCTCCCAGCCAGACTCTGTTTGAAGTCCCTCTGCTAGTGGCTTCAGCAGCCCCTGTGCACAAAGGAAATGTACTTCAAGGAGGACATGCGTGGGACAGCAGCTGAGACCATCAAAGACTGTCCCAGGACTTTATCTCCTAGTGCAGTTAGGGAGCAGGGAGGCAAAGCTCAGGCAGGCTGGGTAAGGGGCATGGAGTGTGCCCAGCTCTGATGGCAACCTCCCTGGGATGTGACATCCAGCCTGGCAGGTATCTCTCTGGAGTCTGTGTCCATATCCCCCCAGTTTCTGGCATATCTAAACCAGGCCTGGGAGCCTGAGGGCTGTGCTCTCAGGGAAGCATTGCCAAGTTCCCTGTGCCACTATTTCTCCTTATCCTCTATTGGTGTCCACATGTCACAAGAACAGGAAGGGTTCCGGTAGAGGCACGTGCACGTGTTTGTGTGCTCACTGTCTCTGCCTGGTGGCTCTGGAAGGATGTGGAGGTACAGTGTACACCTTCCTGACTACCTATGGGCTCCCAGGACAGGTGGGTGACTAGTGGGTTATTCAACCTGTTCCCCTCCCCCCTCCTATCAGACTCCAGAACTTGATGAGGGGGAAAGAACAGAGGCTGGACTCGAGTCAGACATAGCAGGGTCCTATTTGTGCTGCTTCTCAGCTGTGTGATGTTAATTTCTCCACGCTCTTTCCTCCTCTGTACGACAGAGGATAAGCCCTACCTCCTGGGAATGCTGTGAAGTACAAAGTATGATGATGTGTGAAGCACCTGGTCAAAGTCCTTTGCTACCCACATGTGGTCCCTGGACCAGCAGCACCACCTCACCTGGGAACTTGTTGGAAAGGCAGGATCTCAGGCTCAGCGCACTGAATCGAGTCTGCCTTTGGAAAATATAGCTGAGTAACTGCTATGCACATTGCATTTTGACCAGCACTGCTCCCCACAAACCGAATTGCCCTGGGTTATAAATAGACACCTTGAAACAGCCCTGGAGGGGATGCATGATGAATCGTTGCTAGCTAACACAATCAGCGAACAAGTCCTTTCCTGAATGTGCGCTGTACTTAGAAATAAAAAGTCACCTTCCCGTCCAGCTCTGCAGGATGGCTTGGCAGAAAATGGACCCTTGCACACCATGCCACCCTTTTCCATAGCCAGCGTACCCTTTTCTCCACCCCAGACTTGCTCCTCTTCAGGAAAAGGGGGAGGAGAGGGCTAAGCTGCTTTTCCCAGGAGGCCAGCTGGTATCTGGCCTCTTGTGGGCTGTGGGTCTCCAGTGCAGAGATTTCCTTAGGGGCTAATATGTTGGAGCTGAGTGGTCGCTCCAACCAGGAAGCACGTTTGTCTTTGAGCCTGTGGAGGACTCTCCACTCGCTACCAAGAGTGGGTGGAATGGTGAGCTGTTCAGAAGAGTAGCAGGTGAATAGGACAGGGAGGCCTGTAGATTTTCTTCCAGTGGTTCTCAACCTTCCTAATGCCATGACCCTTTAATACAGTATCTCATGTTGTGGTGACTCCCAACCATAAAATTATTTTCATTGCTACAGCACTTAAGATTGTGTGACTTAAGCATACAACCACTGCTCCAGGACAGCCCTCTTGGGCCATGTCAAGGACAACAAGCATGGTTTCTAGAAAGCCTTGCAGGGACCCCCCCCCCTTCTGCTCTAGTTATTAGGCACTTCTCTGTTCTTTCCTACCAACCTGTGAATAATTTTATCCTATAGTTTATTATATTATAACCAGTTTACTTGACAACTTCTCTACCCTGCCCTCCCCCCAAAAAAACAAACTACAGTTTTTTAGGACAAAGACTTAGGCTTTTTGTTTTTTCATTTTCCCAGTGAATGTCATTTTTATCAGGCACATAATAAGTGTTTATTAAATGCTCAGGGAATGAGTCAATGAATGAAGCATCCTCAGTCCAGAAGGTTGTGGTCTTCAAGATTAGTTTTTTTATTTAAAAAAAAAAAAAAAGGTCACTGAAAAACTATCCTCTGCCCTCAGGGCTGCTGCTGGGGAAGGAGCACCACGACCACGCCTCTGCACCCTTGCTGCCCCCACCACCCGCCTCAGCACTGTCCCCTGCAGCCTCCACCACGGCGGCTAGCAGTGCCCACGCCAAGACGGGCAGCAAGGACAGCAGCACACAGACGGACAAGGGCGCCGAGCTCTTCTGGCCCAGCGTGGCCTCTCTGCCCACCCGAGGCCGGCTGAGCACAACTCCTTCCAACAGCCCTGTCCTGAAACACCCAGCAGCCAAAGGGCCTGCAGAGAAACTGGGTATGTGATCCCTACTCCTCTACACCCCTGGATTGGGAGAGGGGGTCTTTGGTTGTGCTGAAGAGGGAGCATAAGCACCAGTCAGCTCTCACCTTAAGAGTTTATTTTAAAGAGTATGGCTAATCAAATGCACTTCGGCTGTGTATGGTCTCTGTTATAGGAGTGAGCATGTGTAGACACCCCTCATTTATTACCATTTAAAATGAGTTCACAGCTTGAGTCTAAGCTATGCTTTATAAGTAACCCTTCTCTAGAAGGGATGAAAAGGGACCCTCTGAGAATGCCAGGGAATTAGTGCCCTCCTGCATGTCTGGGAGCTGGGCTCGGGCACCAGGGATATCACAGGCATCCAGTTCATAGATGTTGCCTTCAAGGCACTGACTTGCCAAGGACTGGGGCCTCGGTGGAGGACTGAAATAGAAAGTAGACGTCACTGCAGGGTCAGTTAACTAGTATGGAGCACTCAGGCCAGGGCTAATGAGTTGTTTAAAATATTTAAGAGAGGGCGGCCTGGGAGATAGGAGCTTTGCTGTGAGTCCAGAAGTGTCTGAGGCACGGATAGACTTGGCTTGGGCTGGTGATAGTCATGGAGAGAGCCCATTGCAGGAGGAATTCTTCAGAGGAGGTGGCAGCTATTTGGAGCATAAATTAACTGTTTTTTCCAAGGTGGGGGAGGGTCTTTATTTTCACTCTTCACAATAGACAAGTACATACAGTTTCATCATTTTGGGGAGGAGTCCTTCTTGGGATACACTTTTCCAAGTAGGGCAGAGAACATGTAAAAAGTGCCCAGCTTGGAGCATGCACTTGATACTTTGAAGTGGAGGGAGGGGTTCCCACACAAAGTCCCAGTGTCACCTTCACCACTTAATCCCCTTCTGTTGCCATCTTGGTTTTTATCTGTGTCCAAATCCTATCCCAGTCATTCAGTGTTCTCCCACTGGGAACTGGAATATCTGGCTGTCTCTGCATTTGCTGGGGTGGGAGTGTGGTGGATTTGGAACAGGCCCATCTTAGAACTTGTAAACTCGTGACCTTCCTAGCAGCAGGATGCTCACGTTTCCTCTTTGTCTGGCAGAGAACTCTCCTGGCCACGGAAAGTCACCCGACCACAGAGGCCGTGTCAGCAGCTTGCTGCACAAGCCTGAGTTCCCTGACGGAGAGATGATGGAAGTTCTCATCTAACCTGCTGCCCTGGGGAATTCCACAGCAGAACATTGATGAAAGAGGAAAGTGGCAGAGATGGAAAAAGAAAGATCAAGAAGGTTGTGGATGAGAAATCAGGAATGCTTTGAAATGATAAAGATTTCAGATTAGTAAGAACACTTTTTACAGAGACCTACATGACTGAAGATAGAAGAGAACGCTCTGGATTTTTCTTACACACGTGGAAGAGAGAAGAGATAAGAGACGCATGTAGGTTTGGAAACAAAGTTAAGAAGAAATACGAAACGGAATTTCTCATTGTACAGAAAATGTATCTCTTGGGGAGGTTCTGTGGACCCCCAGGCTCTGGTTATAAACAGATAAATCCAAACTTGGACCTTCCTTGGAATACTCCCATTCTCTTAGCATGTTTGCTTTAAGAAGAACCTCCTAGAAATCTGTAGAGCCCGTCTTGGCATAATGCAGTGTAACCTGTGCCATCCGTGGGGTGTCGTGTGTGTGTGCGCGCGCGTGTGTGTGTGTGGCAGCAAGAAGAAACGTCCATTGGCAATGGAGAATTTGAAAGGTGCTTTTCACCTAATTTCCTGTTTGTTTGGGTTTTCAGGAGATTATGGGGCTTCTTTTCTGCATTCTGCAATACTTTCTAAACAGGATGGAAGTGTTAGGATCTTTGTCCCAATCCTCCCTGATTTCTCTGGGTTTATCTCTGTTCTCATTTATTTGCTTACGTTTTCTTTCTTTGTTCCTTCTATTTATTTCTTTTTAATAGGCCTGGCAGTATTCCTTAGGTGTGGGGTGTGTTAGGGCGCCGTCTGAGCTATCAGCATGCTTGCTGTGGTGAATGCACCTAGGAGCACAAAGCCACCTCTGGCTTCCTGGCTGCTGCTTCTGCCTTTGCATGGTCAGGCCACAGCTGATAATCTCATTCTGACTGTGAACCAGTAGGCTTTGTGGAGGCAGAAGATTCCATGGGTCACTGTGTCATCTTGCATTAAGACCATGGCACTGGCTTTTTTCTGTCTCACATCAACTCTAGCAAGGAGCTTGACATTTCCACCCCATTGCTCTGTTTGGGAAGATTTTCAGGACAGCACTCCAGGAACATGACAGTGTACTAAACAGTTGCCTTGGTGGCATCCAGCACTCGCCAGGCACCCTTGCACCACATTCGTGTATTTGCAGCTCCAGCACATCAGCTGCTCTCCCTGCTCTGGTGACCGCTGGTGAGCATGCAGACTCAGTGACACCAGTGTATGTCTGGTTGTGAACTCGCTTTGTAACCTGACAGGCCAGTATAAATACAATAGAGTCAGGTTTTTTAAGATTACAGTTTTGGAGCAACTTGTACAAAGTGAGGCAGAAATGCTGTGGAAAAAAGCTGGGAGTGAGTTAGGGAGGCTGCCTGTATGACATTTCACATACAAGACGCTGGCTTCCTTTACAAATCTAGGCAGTGCTAGGTTAGAAGAGAAAAGCTGATGAGATGGGCAGATCGATGCTCCTCCAGGGCCCTGATGTTTTCTCCCACCAGGGCAGCTAGATCTCTATTTTTCCTTTCCTCTTGCTTTCTTAGAGGAAGAAAAAAGAAGCCCTGGGTCTAACACTTGATTTCTAGTCCTCTTGGTGAGACACTGAGGATAGCACCCCTTGGGAATCTTTGCCTAGGTAGCTTATTTTAGGACTGGTCTTTGGAGTGGAACGTGGGCAAACTTGCAGCCTCCCCAGACTGAAGAGATAGAGGAAGGACAAGAGCGGACAGTTGAGAAAGGCTCGAGAAAGGAGGCAGAAACTGATGGCTGTAGCCAGGCGGGCCTCTGAGCATCTGCTATGGCAGAGTAAGCAGGACTGACCCTCTCAGGCTCCGTGCTCTGCACTGCCTCCTGTCTTAGGCCACATGTCAGAGTACAAGCTGCTCAGACAAACCGAGGCAGCTGCAACAGGCTGAGATACCAGTTTGCCCCATGCCCTGGAATGTGGGAGAGGGGCACAGGAGGCCTCACCAGTGAGGAGGGGTGAGTGTGGACATAGAAGGGGAGAGCACAGAGGGGGCCCATTCCACCCTCCCCCCCCCATTACTTATTATGGGGATAAGGCTCAAGTGGTGGCAACAAAGGACATTTTCAACCCAGTTTATGTTGGGAATGGGCCAAAAAAAAAGTGTCGAGTCTGCCACCCCCACCACAACATCTGGGCCACCCCAGACTTGGGCTGTCTCCCCAGACATGGGTAAGAGCAAGAGCCCAAGCCAGTCTCCTGAGGCCTGTGCCCCAAAGTCCTGCGGGGCACACTCAGGCCCTACTTGCTTATTCTTCTCAGCCCCTCTGCACTGCCATGTGTTTTAATTGTCAGAATACAAATGGACATATCACCATTTTTCAGGACCACAGTTATACTGTGCTCTGGTGTTTTGTCAATTTCTTTTCTCCTAACCTACCAAGACCCTTCATTGAGAAAGAGATCAAAATCTTCTCTTACAGGAGATTTCCTGCCAAGCCAGGGCCCTCTGGTAATGACCAGAGCTTTCCTGAAGCCTAGCTTGTATACAGGAAGAAGGGACTGCATAGACTACTGCCCGCTCTGAGTTCTGGGCCGTTTACAGTACCTTATGACACTTGACATTCAGGAAAATAATGCTAGCTATATTTCCTCGTGCCAACTAGATACAAGCCCTGTGGTAAATACCTTTTTGTTAGTCCTCTCGGGTTGTGGGGTGGGGCAAGTGTATTATCCTGATTTCACTGATGAAGCTGGGGCAAGGGGAAGTTGAATCCCCTCCTGAAGTTTCACACCCAGGAGGAACTAGAAGTTAACACAAAGGCTTGGAAGAGGGGCCTCTGACATGAGGTGCCGTGTCCTGGCCCTGTCTGCCACCCTCTGTGATGTGTGACACACACACTGCCGTCACACCTCAGGGCCTGGTGAATAGAGTAACCCCAGAACTCCTAGAATTGCCTAGAAACACCAGCGCAAAGGGAAATTGTGGTGTGCTACTACAAAATATACCTAAAGAATGCCTCTGAATTGTCCAGTGGCCTAGACCTCTTCAGACCTTTCCGGTAGATTGTCACTGTCTCGGGGTGAAGGGTAAAGGCTTTGGTTTCACGTGAAGGGAGGCCGGAGAATCCCTAAGCCTGCCGTCTGGCAGCTTCTATGTGCTACCTGGCTAGTACATGGAATTTGAGAAGTTGGAATCTAGTCTGATGCTAGAGTTTCACTGAATGGATTGTTCTGTATAGAAGAACTACTACTGTCTGCAGGTCTGTATAACTAAGGTGCCAGGAAAAACACATTACTTTGCAAAAATCTCAGAGCATAATGTGCGTAACACTTTCTTAGCATTTTTCTTCTTCTTTTTAAAAAGATTTCTACACGGCATTTTTCATATTTCAATGAATGTTTTTTTCTGCTTCCCAGAGGCTGGTAGCCAGGGACAGTATGGAGTTGAGCATGTTCTAACCACACATGCAGGCACAGCCCTCCCCGGGTTTGGCTGGGGGGCCAGCGAGTGACAGGGCCCTTCTTGCTTCAGTCCTGTGTGGGTTGCTCTTGGGAACCACGTAGGAGCTTGACTTCACTAGGCTTGCAGTAGATACTGAGATGGGTTGCACCAAATAAATTCTGAACTTGGAACAGAAAATCCAGTGGTTCTCTTGCTCAGGGACGAGGCGCACAGAATGTCCCTCGTACCTCTGCCATGTCAACTCTCTTTCCAGCAGCCATCACTCCTGCCTGTTCTCACCTGGGTTTGCATCCACCTTCATGCCAAATGCTGATAGAATGGGAAATCCTTCCTCCCTTGCAGCCTCTCAGTCCCAGAGACTTGTGTGAGCACAGACTCAAGTCTAGGGACTCACGCCAGTGAAGAAGAGACTTAGGGGTTAAGAGGTTTAGAAGCAGATGGGAACTGTGCCGAGCAAAGAGAAGTGTATTCTGAAGCCAAAGTCTTGCACCATGTCCGCACTGGGGCAGGTGGAGAGTGTTTCTAGGTATTCTCAGAATGATTTTGCACCCTCTCAAGGAAGGGACTGCCTTGTTCCTAGCAAGCAGGATCCCATAAATGTTCTTAAATGGAAAAGGCTTTAAGTAGCCAGTAGCCAGCTCACCAATAGATCCCCACATCCCGAAACCTGAGGCTGCCATGGTAAATGCTTTATAAAATGTTGGTTTTCTTTTCTTTTTTCTTTGTTATTTAAGTATTATATTTAAAACGTCTTCATTGAGCATGAGCATTGCTTAAAGGGTTTGCTTCTGATGTGTGGCTCCATGGGAGATGGCCAGAGTTATTAGAAGTTAGCAGAAACTGGACAGCTGGGAGCATGCACAGGGTAGCATTTCAGCAAGTGACTTTCTCCTGGAATGAGCAATTTTTTTCTCTTTTAGTTAGAATACCCTTTTCCCATTTAATAAATTAATGGTATGCAAAGACATGTGTATGTGTAAGTGCATACGAATGAGGTGTGACTTAGAGGGTTAAGTGTGGGATTTCTCTCCTTAATATCCAGAAGATCCCAGTGTTTCATCTCACTCCACCTTCCTTAAATGTATTCCTTTGGGACACCATATATTGATAACTGCAGGGCTGCCCAACTCCTTTGTAAGAATGGCCTTCGGGGCCTGAGATGTTCCTTTGATTCTTCTTTCTTCATCCTTTGAGGATGGATTTAAGTTCTAGAAATAATCTTAAGTCCTTTCATAGCACAGTTTGAAGAATAAAGATGGCAATTAAGGTAAGTTCCATCATTTGTTGTTCCTAAAAACAAATTCCTAAGGTTTCTGGGAATGAGTCTTTGGATTCAGGACCTCTCAAGTGACCACTTCAAGGGAGGACGGTGCTCATCAGTATATGGAACTCCTAGTGGCTTTGTTTTGAACAATCTCTTCTCTCGCCACCTCGTGTGTGTTCACACCCCTGCATACACTACAGACATAGGTGCAGAGTCATCAGTGTAAACATCCACTAGGAATTCTATGAAACTCTGTTCTCTCGAGGTGCATGTCATTGTCACGTCTGGGTGCGACTGAGGTGTTGCCTTGCCGTAGAACTTGGCTTCTTCACAGAGTTACGATCCTGTTCTCTATATAATGAAGTGCATAGCCAGCATTTTCTCCTCTCAGCTCCTAAAGTTTTGACACCAGTGTTGCGTTTACATGTGATTCTGCCTAGGATTCTGTTCACACATAGACATCTGTAGGTATTTATTACAAGACAGAAAGTAAGCAAATATATCCACAGCGTGGTTTTATTTGAATCAAGGTGTTTTCCCCTTTTGAGGAGGGCCAGGGAGCTGCCTCTTCAGTGAGGCACTTACGGAATTGGTGTAGAATTCTGTGAAATGAGGGCAGGCGTGGGCCCCTGATTTCAGCCAAAACTCAACAGCCACTCTCTCCACCTGCTTGGCACTGCCCCCTCGCCTGCTGTGTGTGCTGGTCACTGTGCTTGGTGGCAGTGTGCAGTGCGTGTCCTTCCAAGCCGACTCTGGGACCTGGGTGTAACATTTTGGCATCTCCATGTTGCCAGCTGTATTAAGGGGTGGTGTGTGGAGCTGTACAGCCAGATGGGTCTGTGTACAGAGTGGGGGAGCCCAAGAACACGGCGTGTCCCCCACAGCAGATATTAATGCTGTTGGTCAGCCAAAGATTTTCCTATTCTTTGCTGCTTAAACTTGTGCCTTAATATTGTATATAATAAATGG